AAATATTTTTTCCAAAAATGTTATTAAATATTTCAATTTTTTTCAAAAAAAAAAAGGGTCATATATTATGTATTTTAAATTCATCTTCGAATCAAAAATTTAAATTTCATATTCTATAAGAAATCAAAATAAAGAAATCCATCAAATAATAATTTCTCAATATAAAAGAACTCCCAATATAGACCCAATATATTTATTATTAAGACCCCTGAAAAGAATTCCTCATTTTAGCAGATCCCCAAATATCTTTTTATTTAATACTATTTCATCTCTCTTTTTTTAATAATCATTGAATATCTCATATCTAAGATCCTTGAATTTTTTCGAATAATGATAAATATATATTCAGAAATTTCAAGTTAATCATATCTAAATCAATCCTAAGTTAATAAAGAAAATGATCAATTTTTCTTATTCGAAAAATGTTGTTCATCTTTTCATTTCATCAAAAATTAATTTAAATGTTTTATTTTCCGGAAAACGATATCTTTCTTGGGGAAGGTCATTTCCTTGCGTTCACGAGATGAGTGGTCATCCTTAGATTCTTTGGTTGAAATGTTGAAATCTAATATTCTTAAAAAGGTGCCGGAGATTAAGTAGCAAGTGAATTGCCCATTACCGCCCACATTTGAAGTTAGCATCCGCGCGAAATGGTTTAGGCATGCGCAGGCGGAGCGCAAGTTATAGCACCTTTGCGCATGTGTTCCCCCATGGAGCGTGCCCAGGGTGTTGAGTCCAACTGCACAGAGCCGTGACACAGATTTAAACTTCACGAAAAGAAAAGTGCAGGGTTGCAATGCCTTGAGCAGTCCGCAACACTGCGAATTCAGACACCTTGTGCGTAAAGGATTTCCTTGGGGGTTCTCGGAGCTTCTGGAACCTCACGATGCGAGTTCCTTGCCCAGCAACACCAAATACAAGAAGTCATGAAAATCATTGTCGCCGCGAAGGCGGCAACGCCTTGCCAATAGTTCAGGACAGTCATAGATAGCAGGCCAGCAAGCGTCTCCATGCCCATGTAGCTGGCTAGGCAAACTAACGCACATGCAAGGGTCGCTGCCTTGTCCTTGCATGTGCTTGACATCCTTCCCCGCAGTTTATAGGCTAACGAGGCCCCAATCATAAAAACTGCAGGAATAGCAAAGCTCCAAGCCAAAATGAAGAAGGTCCCAACCAGCGGTTGGCGAATGGCTGGGGCAGCAAACGTCCACAAGAGTGGACTGGAACAGGCAAACATCCATCTGACTGGAAAAGAGAAATGGCCCAGCTGCCTTGAGAGCGCACTGGAAACCGTTGTCTGCACGCATTCTTCGAAGCTTTCTATAGAGCCGAACCATTTCAGAATACACTGCTCAATGACCTCACGATCACAGATCTTCACTCTGCCAGGTTCGGCCTGATGCCCAATTGTGCAGCAATGGCAAGTGGCGTTCCCCAGTCGAAATCGACGGAGCTGCTCTTCCATAGTGTCGATTGAGCGATAGAAGCTGCGGATGGAAGATATTGGATACCACATACCAGAAACACCACAAAGCATTAGCAAGGAGATCCTGGTCATGATCGAGCCTCCCTCGGATCCTGCCCGCGGGAGAAGCAGCATAGAAAGCACAGCCATCGAGAAACCTGCAAAGACTCCAATCGCAACAGGGCCAAGGACAATTGGTCGTACGACCAGCTTCGCTTGCCGTCCATGACTTTTAAGGAAGGCGGCGAGCTCAAACCTCAAGGTCAAGATAAAGCTGCAACATAGTCTTCTCGCAAGTTTGCCTTTATGCTGCTTACGAAATGAAATGATACACTGGGGTGGACAAGGCTCAAACACCACAACCTTTGCGAGTAAGTCGGGTCCCAGCATATCAGCAATTCGTCGGAGCTGTGCAAAATGGCAGTTATACTGCAAAGACCCGCAACTTTCAACTGAGGGTTGGTTTGGTGAACGCATATCCGGTCCAAGAAGACACGGGTTTTGTTTCGCCAAAACAACAGCACCAGGGCAGACACCAGCAATCCGAGCAGATTGCAGGTAACTCCAGCTAGTTGCTGAGACACGATGGCTACGTGATATTGCTCTTGGAGGGTAGCAGCCGTGATCTGATGCTGTGTGCTCATAGGCCCATTTACTGCCCAAAGCACCACGGACAGCAACACAGCTGTAGCAGTGCCCATGCAAATAGCTGCCATCCCGTTGTGCACCAAAAGCAGCATGCCAATTTTCGCCAACTTGCTGCAGTGCCAGGAGTGTGACCAGAATCTAGAGATGCGGCTTGTCGGCTGCCCCCAAGAGTAGATAGCGTTCGCATCCAATCTTCGCTCGGCAAATGCAAGTGCCCAAAGAGCTCTGAAGGCAGGAGTGCTTCGTTGAACATCTGGCCACTGCAACTCCGTGGCAGCCATAATGCCTACGACATGGTCAAAGGCTGGGCGGTTCGCCGGGCAAGTCTCAGGCTCACCACTGCCACTACTCTCCGGAGCCCCGCAACCCACAACCTGCGGCTCCATGGCAGCCATTTCTTGGATCCTTGCAATGCTTGTGCCAGCAGCAGCGGAAGAATAAACACTCCACTTGTACTAATTTGTACTCGACGAGTGCATCCCAAGAGCCGGATAGGCTCTCACCCTCTCACGTTTGACTCTCGGACTCTGGCTGAAGCTTGCTAGGCGTCGGCGTCTGGCCGCCCGCAGCCTGCCAGGGCCACCACAGAGTGGAACTTAAAACCACAAACCAGCAGCCCAGGCCTCCGTGGCTGGGCATCATTCTATGCAAGTGATGCCAATTTCCCAGCTTCAGGACGAAACACTCCACGTCCTCTGCCAAATCTAAGAAAGCCAAGCAAAAGTCCAGGCTTTGAAGCCCCATCCTGGCTGGCAACAAGTTGTTTGCCTACAAGGAACGCGTGCTTCTTCGCTTCGCAGACTTCTGAATACTGGAACTACCCCGAAAAGAGGACAATCAGAGATGCCAATGTGGGTCCTGCACCTCTGCAATGTCACCACGTGCTGATTGAGCTTGCGTTGGGCCTCGCTCGTGAAACCATTGCCGGCTGATGGTGTCTCATAGCGAGCAGGCTTCTCTGTGAAGCACAGGTACAGGCACCTCCTGGCTGCCATTCACACTTGCCCGCACCAGCATCACCATCACGAAGGCTAGCTCCTGCAAGCAATATTCCAACACAAAATGAAAGCGCATGAAGGCACAAGACCAATGGCATTTCTTTTGCACATCCAGCCTCTCATCTCCATGCTGTGCTCCGCAGTCTGCGCTCAAACAAGAATATGTCCGCAGCAGCGCATGACCAGCCTGTCAAAAGACTAGCCAAGACCCGCATGCATCTTGCAGACCCCGGCCACCCGTGTTGGGTAACCCAATTCTAACATCCCCCCAGCAAAACTAACAAAGAAGATACCAGTAGCATGGCTGCATCGATGTGTTAATCCTCCAGATCAGATTTGCTTTTGCTCAACATGGACTTGGGAACATTTGCCCCAAGGCCCTTCGCAAATTCTCGGAAGGAGGCCTCACTTGCCTGTGCTCCTCGTCCAACGTCAAGTCCTCAACTCAGGGAATGTTTCAAGCTTCCAGCTTGATGGATAGTGGACAGCAGAATGCTCGTTCACAAAAGATGCAGGGTGCGCTAAGGTCTGGTCTGCACCTTCATCAGAGCCGCATTTTGTACAATGACCCGAGCCGCGGCCCAAAAAATGTTCCTGCCCACGGCGAAAATACTTTTTCAGGAAATCCCTCCAGAGGATGAAATGATGTACTGGTGAGCCTTGACCTCTGATGCCCTTGACTCTCTTGAATACCTCCAGCCTCCAAGGCTGGCCCTGGTTCGGCAAAGACTGGCGCCAAGGGGGGCAGAGTTCGGAGACGTTCTGCCCGGGCAAGCGCTGCCTGTCCAAATTTTTTCCACGAACTACACTATCTCCGCGAGGCCGCACTTTGTGCGCCTGACGAAACACAGGTAATAATTGGCACTTCTGTAGCTGAGTTCGCGACACTCAAGAGTCCCGAGACTGGAATGTAAGTGGATGTAAGGCTCAATGGACTTTTTCAAACCATACTGCATAAGGAAAAAAAGAGCACCGCAAAGTCGTCGGATCCAAGACGCTGCTCAGCTTTCCCTGTGGGAAGATACGCACTTAGCTGCCCATCAACCCACCATACGTATCCCTAAGATGAGTGGCACGCAATCACTTTTGGGAAATGGCAATTCCTTTGCGTTTGCGGCTTGCAGGCTGATGGACGCAATCACAGCTCAACCTTGCCGTGCATTGACTGCCTGAATCTCTGCAAGCGCTGCATCCCTTTTCTCGGCGGTGTTCAGGGAAGGATGCCAGAAACGGATCAGCCTCAGCGCTTGTCTGCAGGCACTGTGTCTACTGACAGACATTCTGTGAAGCCACATTGGTAGCGAACTCAACTTACACCAACAGTTCAAAGCTCAGCCTCCAGCAGCACTACCCTAACAGAGCTGGTATTGTTCCTCACCTGCTGTCCAGTACGGTCAGCAGCGTCTCAATTACCTGGTCAAACATTCTCCGCACCTCGTGCTCAAAGGAATCGTCGAACACCATGATCTTGTCTTGTTCCCAGCCTTTCCCACCACAACATGGTTGGAGGTTTTCGCGCCATGCTAGGATATTTGCTTTCACCATGAATGCTTCTCCAGCAGGACTCAGTAATGAAAGGCAAGCGGAATGAAACTGTTGACCTACACTGATATTCACTCAGGCTTCGACACCTCCATTCGCCTCCGACAAAAATCCCACAAGCTGGTTCGTGATCGCTTCCTTTCACCCAGAAAGGAATGCTGTCCATCATGAGAGGATGGACTGCGCCACTTCTGCAGCCAAGGCTGGTTGTTTCTGCTGCTGCTGCTGTTGTTGGGGACTTTGAGCTGAAGAGCGCAAAGATGCACAAAGGCTTCTCGATACGGCACGGAATTTCAATCGAGAGAGTTCCAGCCCCATCCACCTTGCGAAGCGGCGCGCGGAATGCGAAGCCCCAGGTGAGCTGTTAGGCGGTGATTTGCCTGGCTGAGCTGACCAGGACTCATTGTGGTGACTCTGTGTCTTGTGCCACATTCAGCTGCTATGACCGGACCGGGCTGACAGGTGCCTTGAGGCCATATGTAGACATATTATGGAGACAAGCATGAGACTATGAATTGATTCACAAGGGGTACTTGCCAAAACGAGGATCAATTCCATTTTGTTCCCCCCAAAAAAACTGAAAATCCAGGTGCCCCCCCCCGTACCCCAAGGAGCCGTCAGCTTAAGCGTAACTAATTTTCTGTACATTCCTGTACCGAATGAATACGAGGACCCTCTGCAAAGCGAGGAAGGCCTGCCCTACCACAGTGGCGAAGGACCTCCGTTCCCGGCGATAAGGCTGACAGGACCACCTCTCCAGCGCCTGCCTTCAAATTCAGGCAATTTGGCGATTGGCCAAGTTACATGTCTCTACGGTGACACGCGGCTAAGAGGCAATGCACCCTTTCGCAAGTAACATCCCCAGCTTTCTGCAGCCTCGGCCAGGGAGATAGCCTCCGGCAGCAGATGCTTGATTGCCTGAAGGGCAGCCGTTGACCGCGGGTCGCTTGCCTGCTTGAAAACGTCATTTTCAGCTTGGTTGCTTCTTGGCACTGCAGGTTTGATATATATATATATATTAATCCACATCCCAAAACAAGACCTCAATCTGCAACTGTAGCATGAACGCTGAGGCAGTCCTCATCCTTTTCAAGGCCTGTACAGCACAGGGAAATGCGCGAAACGTCATGGCAGAACATTATCGATTCCATTTTTTGTCATGAGCTTCTTTCCAACCCGAGGCTGGAACCGAAGAGCACGACCTCGTGCCAGCTGCCTGCAGAAAGGAATCCAAGCATTGAGCAGTGCTCACAGTAATGCCTCTGCAGCTATGAGTGCGGGTCCTCTCGCAATGTCAATGACAGCAGAGTGCGTCATCGTCGCATCCCAGATCATTCCTACACCAGCCTTGTAGCACTGCCTCACCATCCTGGCGTCCTGATGCCCTGTGGCCGCCACCTGTCTGCCGTTCAGTGCAGCTCGTGAACCATCAACAGACACGTGGAAGAGCTTCACATTGGTGCAAATGACTTGTAAAGGTAGCCCTTATAGCCGAGGCCCCTACCCACCTTCGCCTTTGCTCAGCCACTGAGCGAAACTCAGTCCAATTGTCTGAGCAAGTATTTTTGGCATCTTGGTGTCTGGCCCAGGGAGATTGCGGCCCGTCAGGATGCTCCAGCAGCGGCAAGAGCCTCTCCTGCAGATGAAACCCTGTGCCGAAGGCCATGTCTGGCCCAACCCTCACATCCAGAGCTGTTTGCGGGGGTTGGCCCGAAGGAGGGAAAAAGGAACAATGGCCTGTCAACAGGGCGCGAAAGCAAAAAGGAGGCGATGCCTATCGATCTGACCGCAAGCGAAGCAGCATGCACGCAGCTTCTCACACTAAACATGCTAACCGACAAATACTGCAAACGTCACCCTGAATTCTTTGCAGAAGCTGCTGCTGCACGAGGACAGAGGGGTAACAACGCCTTAGTACTTCTTCACCTCTGCCAAAGCTGGAAGGTTCTCCTGTCCTGAAGCTGCTGTCGAATCAGTGGCGAAGTGGCTTCCATTGCCTGAACGGGTCCACGGAACTGCTAGGCTAAATGTCACCAGCCAGAGCAAAGTCAGTGGCAGACTGGCTGACGTAACACATTGAAACGGAGACAGAACTGCTCGCCTAAAACTCAAGCGTGACCACGCAACAAACTTCTGTTCCGGTGCTTCTCGAGTCTCTGAGCTGGCACTAAACGGTCATGAAAGGACGTACCATCGTTGCACGCAAACGAGCATAAGTTGTTTACACGGACCAAGTTGAAACTAACTGCACATTCTGAACTTTCACCTGAAGTCTTGGCAAAGTCGATCGCCACAGGCCTACTGCATAGCATCAAACATCATCAAACTCCTGCCTGGACCCAAGCGAACATCTTTGGATCCCAAAAAGGCTGAGATGCCTCAGGATCACGAACATTCACAAGCATCGCCAGATTGCGGAAACATGAGAAAGCAGGGTCCCGGGGTCCCTGAAGCTGCCGCACCGCTTCGCACCGCATTGTTTTTTCCTTGAGGCGCTGACAAGACCTTCGAGGAATGCAGCAGGACGCTGCCTGTATATGCAAAATTTGTCG